AACTGTCTGGGTCCGCCCCTAATTGAATGTATCACATTATGCAATATAAACTGGTGCACTAATGGCACTGATGCTAGAAAGCATTATTCGATTTTTATTCATGCAGCAAATGCAAATGGCGACATTCCTACTTTGAGGAACTTTTAATGCTTTCTCACTAATATGTATATCGTGTTTGATTTAGTTTAAAAAGTTGATAAAATTTAAATAAAAATTAATAATTAATTTTAACTATACATTTTATGAATTTGCAATTTTCATCTATTTTTCAACCACAAAATTCATTGTTTATTTTATTTTATTTTTTATAGTTTTAACAAAATTTTCTAAAAATTTGACTTTTAGCAAATCCAATTAGGAACTTAATATGGTGCGAAGATACTGACGAGGGACATGATATTTCCACGATTGAATATGGATTTACACTAAAATATTTCAAAGGATGCAGTGATGACAACCATTAGGAATTAACGGAATACTTAACTCGACTTGAGCATATCAAATATGATATGATATAATATAATTTAGCTTTATTTTTTGATTTTGCGACGGTTAGGTTATAAAGTCCCTCCTAAATTTGTTTATATATATATATATAATGAAACTCCACTCTCGTGGTGGTTCGAGTTAAAAATATGTTCGACAGGATATTTTATTTTGAACATAAATTGAATTCAACATAGCTTCCATAGTGTATCATGTATCTTTATTCTTTTCTTATTCAAATTATTTATAGTCCTAGCTGGCCAAGCAATAATTTTTCACCCTACTAAACGAGGCATTTATTAAACAAAAGAAATTATTTCTCTTATAAATTACTTATTTAATTATAAATAATCAATTAAATTTTAACCAGACAAATCAATGGTGGTGAGGCAGTGTCTGGTGGGTTGGTGAAAGCTAAAATGATCTCAGTTATTCTCACGAATCCACACAATAAATATCACTCTAGTCTGTCACTGTATCTCAGTTATATCAAATATCAATGTTGTCTGGATTCTTTTTTTTTTTTTTTTGTAACGCAGGTGTCCCAGTTTAGCCGAACTAAATTCTGGACCTCTAGCTCCCGGCCCCTCAGTGACTAGTGGAGGTAAATCGCAGGTTGTGCCCTTGTTGGTTCCCAGGTTCCCACATGGCTTTTACTCCTTCCCCAAAGGGACCATCCTCCATGGTTATTACATCACCAAACTGCTCCAACCCTTCCTCTAGTTATTACATCACTTGGCTGCTCCAACCAGGAATCGAACTCCCCACACTTGGTTCCAGAGCCCCCCAATGTGATTGTTCCGCCAACTTGGATGTGCCCTGGGGGGCAATGTTGTCTGGATTCTTGATATAATAAGAAACCTTCAATCAGATATTTTTTACATTTTTTTTAATTATACACTTATCGTAGCTCTCGACCTGATTAAAAAGATTTCTTTTTTACTCTTTTGCCTTAATGACGTTTTCTCTTCTTCTAAATATTTTGAAGATATGAATCAATTAGAATTCGAAATCAAATAATTACAGTTTAACAAAATATCTCTATATCGCCGTTACAAAAGTAGTACTCCATCTTTGTTGCGGGTGATTAATAAAGCTGTTTAATATTTGATCTAAAAATTATTTGAACTTATAACATGGGCCTTGGAAATTTAAAAGGATGACTAGTCTTTCATTGGACCGAGCTACATAACCTGTGCGGGTGACCGCATAATTGATATAATACACACACATGGGGGATTAAAATTATTTTATACATGGGAGACCTACGTCAGCCATGTGAGGGTGCGATCACCCAGAGTGTCAACGGGGCGGGTCGTTGTCGGACAATTGTTTACACTTGCGGCAAACCAAAATGGTATATTACTACTTTGAGGGACTTTTAAAGCTTGGGAATGCTCATTAATATGTACACGTTTGATTTAGCTTTAAAAATTGGTAAAAAATAAAAAATAAAATTAAACAAAAGTAAATAATCAATTTTAATCATGCATTTATAGGATTCATAATTTTTATCAATTTTTCAATCACATATTTCATGAAATTTTATTAAAATCTACTAAAAATTTCATTTTTAACAAAAACAAACAAGGGCTTAATATAGTGTGAAGATATTGACAAGAGACTTGATATTTCTACGAGTCAATAGGATCTACACTAAAATACTCCGAAGGACACGATGATAATAACCATTAAGAGTTAACGAAATACTTAACTTTACGTATTATGACTCAAAAAATGACTTGAGGACGTAAAATATAATATAATTTAATTAACTGTATTTTTTGATTTTGTTATGTTGTAATTATTTATCTTATAAATTACTTATTTAATTGTAAACAAACTTACGCCTAATTAATTAATTAAAGTTTGAACAAACAAATCAATAGTAGTGAGGCAGTGTTTGGTGGGTCGGTGAAAGCAAAATTGATCAGAATTTGTTGTGGCCTTGAAATTCCACTTATCAACTTATAAGTGATAATTAACCAAATCACTTAGTATTGTAAAATCTATCCCCGCGAATCCACACGATAAATATCACTCTATATGACACGACCCGTCCCAACTCAACCTAATTGACTCGACATGTGTCGTGCGTCGGTAGTAGATGCCAGCTAAATGCCGGACCCACCGCCAAGGCAAACTTGACCTATTTTGACTGTGCTAATTTCTATGAAAATTTTGACAGAGTTTCCCTTATAACATAGACAAAACCAACCTAAAAAATCATCAAAATCTCAAATAGACATTTAAACCAAATGTTTTGGAAACCACCACTTCCTCTAATACCACCACAACTACTATAGAATATAACAAAATTCGACTGAGTGTTTCTACAACATCATCCTGTCAACATGCAAGTATTACATCACTTACAAACCCTTCGACGAATATGCTTGTCACCCAAAATTAGACAATTACTTAATAAACATAAGTTTCCCAACTATTCATTACATACTTATGAAACAGTCTCTTTTTGCTTCAGCAAGCTTTCCCAGATATCTCAAAATGGACCTTCTTCTGATAGGAAAACATGGTAAAAAGATATGAGTTTATAACTCAGTGAGTGGATAGTTGAAAATAAATAAACTTTTCCATTTATGCTATTTTCTGAAAATTCTTGCACTATTTAACGTTAAGAACTTCTAAAAAAATAGTAACACTTTAAAAAAAAAAAACTATACATGATCATATCATAATTTCTTGGACATAATTCTAGAAAGGCATCTGTATAACATAATGACTATAAATAATTTGATATCCATGAAAAATTATGAAATATTGCTGCCTTAATACTATAAGTTGAAAGCTTTATTTTGAAAACTGAATTAACTGCATTCCATAATCTGAAATCTGATAATAGAATAAATACTGAAAAATCACACCAAAAAGAGTACCCAATGAATAGCCTTACTCATGTACAGAGTAATCTCGATGTACAAGGCAAAGCCATTCAAATCTGATAATCTGATAGCTGATAATCTGATAATCTGGTCATACGTACGCAGAACTGCCCCCAAAGGCTAATCACCCTAGTACACGGCTCAAAGCCTATGTGTGTACGAGAGTGGGTCCCAAAGACCTCTGATAATCTGGTCATACACTATGGAAACACATTCACAATAGTGCATAGCGGGTAAAATCACTGTAAGTAGTCATACACTGTGGAAACACATTCACATCAGTGCAGACTGGGATAAAATCACCTGGGTACTTTCTGATGGTTTTAAAATAACTTTAGCTATACTGAAACATTTATATTCATATAACATGCTAGTCAAATGATTTAATTGAACTGAATTTAACTTTAAAAGCAATTGTTAATAAAATCCAATTTATTCTAAAAATCATGCTATGAAGTCAACTTTATACAATAAATAACTTTAAAATTTAAAGAAGACTTATTTCTGAAAAATAAGTTTTATCCACTCACAAGGTATGAGCTACAAGCTAGATAGGCTGATAGACGTTTTCAATCGCCTCATTACCTCCTGAAATACGATAATGATAACCAATTTATCCACTATCAAATCGAAAAACCTTAATATCTAATAATAGAACATAATTTAAATGCTCTTGGTACTTAAATAAATTCTCAATTTTTCCTTTATTAATTGGAGCTAATCACACCTTATAATCCCTTGGTTAATCACTAATTTATCAACATAACCATCATTTCAAATTTAAAACTAATTTTACTCTCCAATCTAATGAAACTAAAAACCACAATTCCACCCACATAATATACATTTGTTCCATAAAATCAATTCCCAAGTGAAATATTTCATTTACATAATCACTTCACAATTAATTAATTAAAATCCCCAAAATCGGATTCTAGGGTTTTTCCAAAATTTTGACATCTCCATACCTTGCTGAAAATTTGAAATGAATAAATCCCCACACTTGAGCTCCAATTCGTGCAAATATCCCTAAAATTCGACATATTATTTAACAAGTTAAAACCCTAAAAATTTTAACATAATTCATACTTTATCACCTAAAACAAATGGAAAATTTCAACTCAACTTGAAGATATCAACCTTGCCTCCCTTCTTCTTTTTCCCTTCTTCTTTTCCTTTTTCCCTTCTTCTTTTCCTCTTTTTCTCCTTCTTTCTCGGTCTCTGCTTCCCGTAACTCTGTGTGTGTGTGTGTTTTGGTATGAAATGAGAGAAAATGGGTCAAATGGTTGAATTAATTTGTCCACTAACCCATAATTGCACAATAAATCCCTTAGCTTCACTTTTTAGTAACATTTAATCCTTTAACTTCCAAAAGTATATATATATATTCCAAACTTTTAAATATATCCAATTCAACCTTTATATTTTGCCAATTGCAAAATAACCCAAATAAAATATTTAATTTCATTTGAGTCCTTGATTGACTTTGACTAGTCAATATTTGAATTTTTGACTATAAAAATTGGATTGTAACACTATATCTCTCCCTCAGTCATCATTCCCTGGATTCTTGATATACATACATATTTTCTGTATCCATATTTACATTTGATGAAGGACGTAGGGGTGGCGAATCACGAGTCGTTCATGGCCAAGGACTACCATGATCCACCGCCGGCGCCGCTCATCGACACAGAGGAGCTGACGAAGTGGTCGTTTTACAGAGCTTTAATAGCTGAGTTCATAGCCACTTTACTATTTCTTTACATTACAGTTTTGACTGTAATTGGGTATAAGAGCCATCTTGATACTGACTTGAAGGGTGACCAGTGTGGTGGTGTGCGAATTCTTGGTATTGCATGGGCCTTTGGAGGCATGATCTTCATTCTTGTCTACTGCACTGCTGGAATTTCTGGTTAGTTTTTCTTTCTTTACATTGAGCATCAAGATTCTATCTTAAAACGTCAACATTATAATTAAGAAGATTAGGTGAATGTTTGGTATTGATTTTTCACTCCAAAAAATCAATTTTTTGATCGTTATTTCACTATTCAAGCTGTCATTTTTTACTTCCACTCTCACGGGTAGGACCCACTTTTTTTTCCGACGGTCAAAAAATCAATTTTCAAAATCACTACCAAACAAGCCCTAGATCAATCTCTTGGTTCTTATTTTTATATGTTAAGTGACGTGAGATTTATTGTCAACATATTTCGTGCAATGTTGGAAATTGAATGCTCCTTTAAGCTTTAAATAGATCGAATTATTCACATGAACTTCTTGTGCTTGTATATTAAATCCATGTTCGACAATCAATAAGAAAACTCATTTTTTTCTCGAGCTCATTTTCAACAAAATAATTTGTACGTAAATTCTTAACTTTTTTCATACTTTTTAACCAGTAATCACAAAATCTCAAAAAAAATCAGTATTTCGAAACTCATTTTTCTGAAAAGCTCAGTTTAATGATTGCCAAACAGGTAGCCTAAAGGATCAAATAACTCTGTGAGCATGTTGGGGTTTGGAAAAATCTTGGGGTTTCATTTTAAAATCTTTACTTTGTTAGAGTAGTATCACAATTTTTAATAAAGTGATTAACGCCATCATCATATTTAACTGAACATTTAGAACAAGAATAAAATTCCCTCTAAACATGCAGATGCTTAATTTGTTCACCAAAAATAGTGTAATTTGAGTGATCTGTGTGCATGCAGGGGGGCATATAAACCCAGCAGTGACTTTTGGCCTGTTTTTGGCCCGAAAAGTGTCTTTGATCCGGGCAGTAATGTACATGGTGGCACAATGTTTGGGGGCCATTTGCGGTGTCGGTTTGGTCAAATCCTTTCAAAAATCATACTACAGGAAATACGGCGGTGGCTCCAATGAGCTGGCAGAAGGGTACAGCACCAGCGTCGGGCTATCTGTCGAATGTAAGTATTATGCCCTAGGTCCAATCGACTTTGAACATAAATACTTTTATATATAATTAATGCAATTAAATGGCAGATCTATTATTTAATTAATAGACAATTAAATAAATAATAGAGTCCGTAGATTCAAATATTTGTAATTTATTAATCACAAGGAGTTGTGATTGTGAGATACAAATTACATCTGATTGAATCTTAAATTATCCGTGGTCGTAAGTAATAACGAGATACGGATATCGTTATTACGGATAGACCATCACGTGTGGCATTTCTTACTTGTGAAGTAAGTAGCTGATCTCACAAGTTAAAGTGTGGTAACACTTAAGTGAACACGTGGATGTTTGTTATAGAACAAAACATTGGAGACCCGTCGAGAGAATCCACATGGATAACTATCTGAGTGTCGGTGGTTAATCTCTAACGTTCGGTAGTGAAATTGGTCCTTTGACTTGAGGTCGTCATGGTACCTTATATGAGGACAGTCATACTTTGGCGGTGTTGGATGTTGCTCTGAAAAGGGCCGCTAATACGACATCGTTCGGGTACGTCAAGAATCGTATGAAGGTTGTGATTGATCAATAAAGGATTCGTCACTCTTAGATAGTAGGAGATTATGATCTGTGTTTCATCCAATTAAGTCAATGATCAAATCCTTGGCCAAGGTGTACTCATAAGTCGAAAAGGAGTTTTCGATTTATATTGACTTAATAGTGGAGTGAAAGATATGATTGATGATCGAGATTGACACAACTCCATATCTCGTAATTGATCGGATCATAT